CAGATACTAAAAAAGACGATCGGGGTCTGGCAACGCCAGTTTTGGTGCATAAAGGAGACTGTTTTGACCGTGTCAAAAGCATCCCGATTATCGGATTCCCAACACCATTCTGTATCCTTCTTAAGGAGATAAGACAATGGCCGTACCATTTCTGCACAATTCTCGCTGTATGTGTGCAAAAAGTTGGCGAGGCTAAGCGACTTCCACAAGTCCTTTGGTTCTTTAGACTTGGCCAGTACACAATTTCTTTGACCTTAGCAAGATCCGCTTGAAGACCACGCTTTGCAATGAAGCACCCTAAAATAAAATTTCTTTCGCGCCGAAGATGAGCTTATCGGCATTAGCATACAGCTTTTTTTATTCGTGCGCATGCACTCGAGTACCGCTCTAAATTGGACGATGTGGTTTTCCTCATCTTCCCCCCCGTGCCCTACACGACTGTAGACGAAGATGTCATCAAAGTATGTCTATGCATACGCCCGATGCGGTCTGAACAACTGCTTCACCAGACGATTAAATGTTTCTGGTGCATTTGACAGCCCTAGGGGCATCACCAGCCACTCTCAGAGCATCCCGCTCGAAGTACCCACCGCTGTCAGCGAATTGTCACTCGCTCTCATGAGCAATTGGTAATAAACATCGACCAAGTCAAGTGCGCTGTACTTTGTACAGCCAACCATATTTGTTTTTGAAGAACATCCGATTAGGAACTGGCTTTTGTGCCGGAATGGTGGCAGCGTTTAGCTAATTATAAGCGTAAACGCTACGACACTTGCCGTTCGGCTTCTGGACACAAAACTTGGGTGCCAAATGGGGAGACTTGCTCTCATACACGATTTCTGCCTCGTGCTTCACACGGAAAAGGCATCAATGACGTCACACTGCTCTTTGAGTAGGGGGCATTGGCGTGTTACGCAGTATTTGATTCCCGGAACCAAATCAATCTCATGACGCACACCTCGGTCCGGAGGTAGGACCGACGGCGGGTCTTTGGAGACGACGTCTTGGAATTCCTTCACCAAAAAGTAATACTGATGCGAAGGATCCCTTAGGATTGACGGTTTACTTCGTGCGTTCAGCCCCTTCTTAGTGTCCTCCAGGACAGCTTCATCCAGAAAGGCGACGACGAGTTCAGCTCCTCGCTCGGTCATATATTGACCACCTCGACTAACTTGTCTGCCTTCAAGGCACCACTAAACTCTCCGAAGAACATCTCGTCCAGCTCAAAAGAGCATTCACCGCGTGAATAGCCTCGAGAGTGACGTCGCCGTCTTGATCTCCCGTCATACTGTTGACAAGGGAATATAGCTGCGCGCTATCGTCTAAGACTATCGAAGTCAAGGAACTTGATTTCGAGATCCACAGCGACCCTTGGCAAAGTGAGACAAGTCCTCGTCGCTAAGCAAACACACGGTGTCACCCAACCACGCTTCCAGCGCTTCAGTGTACAGCTGACTTCTTTCGATCGTGGGGCGTCGAGCATCTTTGACGGACGCATCACAATCGATAAGGATTTTTCATGGCTAATCAAAGTCTTTCACGGTCGCTTTTACGACCAACAAGCCCGGCTTGCACACACATTCCGTATTCAAGAGCACGCAGCTTTTCGGGACTGAAGCCTGCTGCCCTCTACCTCTTTGAGGCTTAACAGAACTCAGTTCCCCCCCAGTAGATCACCCCACGCCAACTGGGTGGTCTCGTTTCCCTGCGTCAAACCAGTCTAGCTAGAAGCGGGACGTCGGTTCGACGAACCTTTACGCGCCTTGCGCAGGGAACAACCAGTCTGAAGGTGACGGGTGTCTCCACAGACAAAACACCTTTGGGTGTTTAACCGCTGCCCAGCAGCTCGGGGCTCTACACTCTTTCTCAGCATATCTGAGGTCCATCGGCTCATGCCCGCTCAACGAGCTATGAAGGTGTGCACTCAACCAAGTCGTGCTGACTTAAAGTGGAATTCAACATTTAATGCCACATTCACCGCTTCGTCAAAAGAAGACGGGTGGACACAGAAAAATTCCCAAAAACATCCCAATAGTAGCAAAAATAGCTGTTGTTGTATTATCTTCAAAAACACCTGTTAATATTAAAATTTCACCGAGGCCACGCCAATGCGAAGTCCCTCCATAAAGACGGTCACTGGAACCACCTCGGGAAGAGAATCTGCTGCCATCCCAGCAATAAGAGTTCTCAACTCTTGGACAAAGCCCACCACTTACTTCTTGCCCTGTCGGGCAGCAAGGAAACGCGTATCACGCGATACGCCTGATTAGGCGGCGAGAGCACTCGCAGAATCTGACGCTTCAGCTCCTTCCAGGTGGGGAACGCAGCTTCCAACGAAGCACCGCACGTTAGTGCCCATTCTCACGCTCAGCCCCCGAGCTTGGATATAGCTAGCGTCACGCGCTGTTGCGTGTTTTGGAGCATGGCAGATGCCATGCGACCCGCCCTCTCACAAGGGCAGGTGTAAAATCCGTTACATACTGACTGGCAATTGGAGCACACAACCTTTTTCACCAGGGGTGGCCTTTAAATCGCCAATGCCGGGAACCAGAATGTTCGGTTAAACACGCATTTCATCTGCAAATGCTGGAAGGCTCAGCCAGCGTGGAAAATTTTGATGGAGCGATGGTTGGTGAGGACTACGACACCCAGTGAGCGAACAGCACTATTACCACAATTAGCAGCACAACAACCTCCGGCAATTACAACCCAATTTCTTCTTGCAAAGCACAACAGTGTATTACAAGATGGACAGCAGACCATGAAGCTGCAATGAAGACACTATAGAAGATATGGACAACGATAACACCCACGATGCTCTAGAGACTTCGGGATAAGTACTTCTTCGACACTTTACACAACAAGTCAAAAGAAGCAGCACAGATACTCTAGGCGACGGGAACCTGTGAAAGCGGTAGCGAGTGCATGGGAATCCCTATAGAAAGCACGAGTCGCAAAATACTGTCTGAAAGCTGTCAAGCGACGATGAACCAGCAATGAAAGCAGACAGCCAAACAGGCATCACCGTATGACAATTGCAAACCAAAGCATTAAGCGGATGGCTGCTGTATCAGCTGGAAACAAACAGGAATAAACACTGCGGGCAGCAGACAGTGTGGCTTTACCAGTACTAATCCTACCAGCATATTACAACGACAAGAAAATACAGACAGAAAAAAACATCAAGAACCAGGTATCGACGAATCAAATCTTACTCCAAGTTGAAACTAGCAGTACAGCCTCAAAAGCGAACCAGTCAAAGAAAAAAAACAGTGAAGCACGTGTTCCAGATAAGCCACACGACAGCTTTTTCGCAATACAATGGGTAGTACCGACGAGAAAGTCGCTCAATACAGCAATATTATTAGCCCAGAGACAAACCGGACGATAACTACTTGAAGCAATGGCCAGATTTCCTCGAACGTGTGGCAGTTCGCCAGCGTGCTACCACAAAAAAAAGGTCAGAACGAATCAGAATGACAGCTACATTGATAGATCGTCTCAATACACATCAGGATCCTAAAGGAAATAAAAATCAATAAAGTAGAAGGCCGGCTCACCACCACCGCCCCCGGGTCGAGCTAAGCTCCACCGGTCAATGAGTAATATGAGAAGAAGAAATGAAAATCTTTCGTGAAGTCGGCTTTGGAAGACCGAGTAATCAAACGTGTGAATTGACACGAATCATATGGTCTTTTGTCTTGTCGTTTGAGGTCATGTGCTGGTCTACATCGTGGAGATCTCAAGGACAAGTGTAGTCAGTGCGGGATCTTTATGCGCAATTGACTCGACGGGCTATCTATGTATCTCAAACCGTCGGTGTTGAGATATGCAAGGCGCTTAAACACAGCCGATCTAAACCAGGTGACAGCTAAAGATCTCTTAATGAATTGAGTGCATTGCTCGCGGGAACCCGCAGTTGCAACAGTTATCGTTTAGTGCAAAAGTCCTGGCGTTAAATCAATAATGGTAATATCGATGTAGCAATAGCTATATACCCAGGAATAGGGGCATGAGCAGGAGTCTACGATCAACGCTGGATGTATTTTCTGATCCAGTCTATACTCTAAAGTAAAGCACACTTATTTAGCAACTTTATTAAAAAGCTCCGGAGTCAGTCACTCGAGATCTCATGTGTATTCTTTGACCCGAAGGCTTTGAATATCCGAGAAACTGGTATTCACAGGCTAATGAGAATACGTCTTCAGATTATCTACCAAGTAAAGAATATGGTGAAAAGGCAAAGAGCGCAAAGCTAATAAATACCCTAAACGGCAAGGCGAAGTGATGTTTATAGAGCAGATAGATGAATTCACCTTTTCTCAGACATTAAATTGAGTAGGGGATGAATATTTATATAACTGTGTACATTTATATGGAGGCACAATATAGCCCACAAAATTCTTCACGGTTTCACATCCAGCAACGTTCCTCCCGTTGACTCGAAAGGGCTTAATGAATCAAAAATTCGTGGTGCTTATAGCACCAACTCCCACAATGCGCAGTGTAGGTATCATCGCAATTTTTTTCTCTTGCCCTGTCGCTTGTCGTCACTACTAAAGCGCTCCTGACGGCCGCCCATCAAGGTCTGACCTAAGGGGTACGTCTTTGGCTAAGGCCAAGACGTCTACAGTGGCCTCAAGCGATGCTCCTGAGCTCAAAGCCGTAATGCCCGTTTCTCACAGTACCAGAACTGATTGCCCACCAGTTCATTGCTCGTCATTTGCAGAAGATCGTGATCATACTTAACTCTGATTTAAAAGAGAAAGCAGCCTGAAGTGCTCGGCTTGGTTTGCCCGGGTGCCCTTCTAAAGGCTGCTTAAAGATCTGTGACTTGAATGAGCCGATAACAGGGTCAGTTACCAAAGTCTGATTTATGCGTAGATGATATGTTACGTAGAAAAAAGACCTGCGATGCATGTGGGCTGCTAGCCGTACGCCATATAAGAAGAGATTTTGATAACAATACATGGTAAGGCGTATATATCATAATCAATCAAAATCAGTTCAAGTTTATATATGTCGCTTATTGATAGCAAAGCAAGCCAAGCTTAGTTGCTTATAGACAGACACACTGTTCCGGTCCGGTTTGAGCGAGCGAACCCAACCTTTGTTTTTTGCGCTTTTGTCAACGCAGACTCTTTGCATCGAATATTTCATATATTTCAATTATATTTTAGTGCACGGTAACTCCTTTGTGCTTGATCGTACTTATAGTCGATCCCACGACCGATTCGTGAATGGAAGATATTATATGCAACGTCGACGAAAGCGACATTCAAATATTCATTTCTTGGACACTTACACAGCTTGATAAGCTAACGTCCATGGTTGGTCCCGACGAGATAAGAAAACTAGCAGTCAAAGGGCCAGATACAGTAAACGCTTACTCAGAGACGCTCACCAGCTTTCAAATTCAAGACACCTCAAACTGGGCGATGGTAAATGAATGAAGACCACCTTCATTAGGCCGCTACTGCTGAGGTGTCAGCCCTTTAGGGACTGGGATGGGAAAAATCTCCCTCTGGAGGAACAAAGTTGAGGTAGTCATGACTTCAAGCAAAGCAGCACCCGTAGCGATTGCATTCAGCGAGCAAGGAGGCTGTACACGGGGATGGACACAAAAGAGTTTCACTTCTGTCGTGGAGACAGTCTCAACATGGGAATATTAATGCCGTAGGTGCTCACATCGTCTACTTAGGCTTATCGGGTGCGCTCAAAGCTGTGCTCACCCGTCAAGGGCTAGTTAGCAATGTCCAGGAGCTAAGAATATAATTGCCGAAATAGTGTCGGACCCACTTTTGGAGGCAGTAATAGTCATCAAATTCACAGAGGGTCTCCGAATGGGTATGACCAGCACCAAAACCTTCTGTATTCTCGCAACCTCTTCCGAGGGAGCTGTGGGTGTCAATTGGTTACAGAGTACTATTTTCGTGCGCATGATGCGGACAAAAGAGAGAATAGCTATATATGCATATGTTTTAGCCATGGGAGCGTAGGATTTAGCGCCTTGCAACCCCCTCTCTCTCAGCTACGAGGTCGAAGGGTGGGTCTCCTCCGTAAGGCCGCTTGACAAACACATCACAAAGAAATGTCGAATTTTAGAAGGCTCAGGGCGACCTCTTGAAAATACACTGGGATTTAAAGTACCTCGTGGAGGTCATGGTCAATACGGCTCAATATCATAAAAGCGACTCTTTTAAAATGATAGAGCCTCTGGATCTCACAGCCCACATCTGTTGATATTAGCAACAGCGTCCAGAAATTTGTATAGCCATGTAAGCAAATATATTTTCAGGAGCGTCGAACAATTACGTACGACTCGCGTGTGTCGAAAACAGTGGACAGTTTGAGAAAGGATACGACATTCGTGGGTCTTGCGACGAAAACGCCAGTAAAAGTGTTAAACGTTATGTTAAATCTTCAAGCAGAATTTAGGGACTTCATCGACGTGATACGCTGTCTAGACCTAAACCTGAGTTCGCGATATGATCTCGTCCGAGGTTCGACGGGGCTGGGACGCCACAAACCATCGATTTACTGGAGAGCAAAGAGATAAGGTGCTACGCACTTATCTCCTGGTGAAGCCTTGACGATTAATGAAACCACCTCTGCCGGGAAACCGAAGCGACTTCGGTGCGCCACGAAGTTGCGATAGCCTCCGCGCAAGACATGGGACTGTCCGGCCTGACCCGCGTTGATCTTGCCTAGTGTCTTAATCATATCTAAGAAGGCAGAAACAGCAGTAGGCCGAAGCTTCAGAATGATACGGAAACGAGATATTGTCAGCCGCAGTCTCCAGATTATATATCTGTTGTGACGGGAAGATACGACTCACTGCCGTGGTCCCTATGCAATACGGTCAAGAACAGCCCTGAGCCGTTGTCTTCAGTGCCAGAGCCGATGGCAAGAGGGAGTGACCAGGTATTTACAATCTCCCGTACTAGAGCTGGTGCAATTGATAAACGACTGTCAGGCTCTGAAGATTAAAAAATGGTTAAGATTTGTCAAGACGTAGCAATACAAATGAGGCAGCACTACCGTGTAACAAGTCCACAGTGTGAAGCAAAAAAGCCTCACCGGTAAGAGGTGAGAAGACGTGAGCGAAGTGACCTGAATAGCCCTGGAGTTTGTGAGTCTCCTCTCACTACCTCCGACAAAAGCTCTTATATGCACGAAAATTGCTAGACAGTGAGCTCACTCAAATGGCACTGTTGGTAACGGGGGAGGACTGAGAGCATCGTTCGTCATTTGAAAATCCGTACAGAATTCATGCTTGTGAGCTCTTGCAGAGCACCGGGTATCTTTAGGTATCCGACAAATCCTTTCTATTGATTGTTGATGGTAAATTGTAAGGCGGTGGCAGGAGACCACCGCGTTCTTTGCTCCTAGATAGGGAAATGCGTCATACTCGGTTCCTGGAATCAAATATTGTGTCACACGGCAAATGTCCTTACAAAGAAAACAGTGCGACGAAAACAAAGAAAACAGTGCGACGACTTTGATGCGACGAATCTCATTTGCAGCGCGTCAATCCAATAGCCTGAGCTGATAACCGATCCTTGTTGTTGGCGCTGCTTTATTGCTCCCTGTTATTTCTCAATTGAGATAAATTTTTCAGAGTGTGCCCACCACAATATTGCTCTACCTAATGTTTGCGCTGAGTCTCTTCCTCCCTCTCAAGCTTTCTGTGATCGTCTCGAAGCTGGATGACTATAATAACAAACAACAGTTCTCACTTGTCCTTCTATTTGGATGTACCGCGTGGATGTCCCGCTGCGTATGTGTCGCGAGGTGCATTTATCCATCTTTCCGCCGGATTTGCTCTGGTCACTCGAATTGCTGCGCTTATAATCTGCAGTCCCAGTCCTCCATACTATTGTGGTGTGAACAAGAGTGCTAAATTAAATTATGTCTCCCGACGCTGTTCTTGCAATTCCATATCACGCAACTGTTTCTGTAGACCCTTCAATTGCCGCAAAGTCTGTTTGGGTAGTGCTGTCTGTTTCGCAGTATATAGTATAATGTCAATGTTACAGCGTTGGATGGCATGATGCGTTGTGCTACCGAGTTGCTGATTGATGTAGCAACTCGGGCCTTCGTTTAACATTTCGTATACCCCAGTTCTTCTTAATTGATGCCTTGTCTCCTACCCAGTTCCCTAGCTGTCCTGTAGTGTTGTCTGAATTCAGGACTGTAAATCCGTGCTATGTCGTTGGTGTATTGTGCCAGCTGAGGTCAATCAGGATGCTTTTGTAGGCTTTACTTTAGACTTTGAGACTCATTCAAAGCCATCCAGTTCCTCTTTGACTATAATCAGTTCTTTCAATGAGCACATTAAAATTGTGTTACCATCTACGAACACTGAGAATTACTTAGATGAAATCATTGACGCAGCACCGACACCGGGTATCACCGACAAAAAACTGAAAGCACACCAAACAAGAGGCAAGAACAACTTGACACATTTAGAGGAAACAGGAAAAGCGTTCCCAATTGTAGGACGGAAAGGACATTTCGCAGGGTAATAAAGGGAACTACGAGATCTGGATTGGAGAGATGAAACTGAGGTGAAGAAGTAGATTGAAGTGTATGAAATTATGAAGACCACTCCGCTTCAATGACAAGCCGAGCTACGAGTAACGAGAGCAATTTTTCATACACTGAATCGCAAACTTTCAGTAAGGTAGATAAGGGATCAGAGTGGCTCTCACTAGACGCAGTAATGGAAATTACACCCGAACATGAAAAGTTACCTCCGAAACAACAGCAAATAGGCAACAAAGAAAGACTTCAGCAACCTGAACAGATCAAGGGCTCCACATGAAGATGATCAAAAAGAAATGGAGAGCAAATGGCAAAGCCATTGCGAGCTCCCGAGTCTACCAACTTCAATTGCAATCTGGAAAACGGTACCTATTAGCACTGATGAACACTCTGCAACGGTTCCCAGCTCCTAAATTAATTCTGGCAGTACCGACAGACACAGTGCTAGGAGAATGGACTATGACACATTGCAAAAGACACTCCAGATCCAGAACGAAGAAAATGGATACAACAATGGAATGAGGCTCTAAGGCTCCAGCATTATACAAATCCAGGCAGTGGAAGCTTATACCCCACAAAACTTTGGACGCCACTGAAAGAGAACAATTTGAAGGGATGGTCTGGTGTAATCAGATATGCTGTAGCACGTCTGGAATCGCCATAAATATATGTCAAAGATCTATCAGCTGTTGTTGAAACTCTGCAAAGCAATAAAAAAGAAAAGCTGGTCAAGATGGTCTTCGATCCTGAAGTATGTGGAAACACTTTTTGAAGCAATGGAGACGTCGCCGGAGCTGGAAGCAGCAATTGAGCAGACTGTTATTGGGCTAAGATTAATACGAACCTAGGGTCCAGTCAGGAAGGTATTATTCTCGCCTGAATTTCAGACCAGTTGACTTTGCACACATGGGATTCGACTGAATCAAAGTTTGAAAATTTCCGATAGGTGAAAACTATTAGGATCAGAATAAAGCATCATAATTTGAAGAAACAGAACCGACGAAAGACACTTGCAACGCAGAATTTGTGATGATTCGCGAAAGCATCCAGACGAAGATGGTTGAATGGATGGGGGAGAAGAAGAGGAAAACCAATACTAGACATGCTACTGGTGCAAGATACTAACCTCCATCGCAGAACAAAAGAGGAGTTGAATACGCAATGGAAACGGTATGGCAAGTGAAAACGGAATATCCGCTGAGTTACTGGCAATTAACACAAAATCGGTCTAGCGGGATGGATCACCAGTAATTAGTGATAGAGTGAAACGCAGAATCACGAGTCTTGGACAGAGTCATAGCAGTGGAAATGGATGACTGGCTGATCATCAATGTGTATGTACCCGCAAAAAAGAAGACCAACCACCATTTTCAAAAGATTTGGGACCGTGGTTGAAACGACATGACACAATTATACTGAAGGGGACTTCAACTGTGTATTCAGACCAAACCGGGATTGCATCTCTAACCGTATTCCCAGCACAGCGGCATGTGAAAGCCCGATTCTGCGGCATCTCGTGGACAGATACGATATGACAGATGGAGTTAAACTGCATCATGATTTAGACGAAGAAGACTGACGCCATGCACTACTTCACAAGATGGGGCAGAGATGAAGCTAGTAGAGTAGATTGATTTTACGTCAAACAAGAAGCAATTTTGGCAACACAAAAAGTAAGTGTCATGGATGCAGCGCATGAAGCATATCACCACGAAGTACGAGAACTAGCAAATGGGAGAGTAAGCAGACACAAGGCAGCAAGGAGGAGTTATTAATCAATATCGAATAGAAGGCCCCAAAAAATGATGGAGGAATTTTCAACGATTAACGCTGTAAGGAGAAGACATGTATGGAACTAATCACTGAAGCAGTAACAACACAAGCCATCGACCATTATTCATGAAAAAACTAGGGCACAATTTCTCGTGAATGGTAGTCTCTCATTCAAATGGAGCATACGATCTGGGATTAGAGCAAGGATGTCTACTAGCATTACTGTCGTTTATATTAGCGGTGGATACACTTCGACAAGTAATTTACAGGATCCCAAATGTGACAGGAGTAAGAGCGCCAGGCAGCAAGAAGAGAATTAATACAATCCCGGTTGTCTTTTCCAGTATGAAGTCTTGAGTTACCCCCTACCTCATCTTCCATTGGTCTTCTGTATCCGCCTTGTCCTAATATTTTTCTTGAGGTGCAATCTTTATCTTGCTTTAATGTCAAGCCTGCTGTCAGGCTTTTGACTACTTTCGATCCAACCCGCTGCGGCTTCAGTGTTGAAATTTCTTTCTTCGACCGTTTTAAACATCTGCTGTTGGGTCAAAATCTCAAAACTTGCCATTTCGAGGCCTCCAGCACGTAAACGTAGTTTTTGCTTTCATTTTTAGATTCATCACCGATCCCCAATAACTGTGATCCACGTAATCCACTCGTTTGGAGGATGTTTGGTCAAGGCTTGAAGAAAATCACTGAGCGATGTGTCTGATTGACCTGGCGTGAGCTGTCCCTTTGTGCCGCTCTGATGTCATCCGGTCGAAAAAAAGGTTGGCCGCTGCTATAATTTCTTTTTTGAGATTGGCTGTCAGGTTTCAAGTGCTCCACTGAGTCAAATCTCCGTTGCGGTGATGCCATTACAATGGCGTAATTTTGACAATCTCCGGTTGCTGACGTTTTTATTTTCTTAAGTCCGTCGAAGCACGTCTATCCTTTTGTCTCCTGTGACTAAACTTTTAAACAACCTGCTGTGCTCATCAGATCCAGTTTCTGGCTTTCTCCTTGATTTGTTTGGCTGTCAATCTTTGAATCTTCTCCATTGCTTATATTTTTCCCTTAGTTTGTCCTATACATCCTTGGCAATATCGCATTTTTCTTCTTGTTTTTCAACTTTTGCTTGTCTATATGTTGTCTTCATTTATGTTTCCTATTGTTTTTATATTTATTTGCTCCTTCTTCTCCTTTTCGTGCTTGCGTTCTCACTTTCTTTTGTTGGCATCTCTGTTGTTGACTCGACTTCCATCTTCCATTCGGACATGACTGTTTTGTTTGTACTCTTCGCCAACTTTTTTTCTGGTGGCTCAATCTCCTTTGTCTTCTCACAATATTCTTTGACATCTCACTTGATTGCTGGGTTGTAGTTTTCTAGTGTTCTTCTTGTTGTTAAGCTTAGACCCAGCTCTTCCAAGCTGGTTACCGTTGATGTCTGTCTTGGCAATGCCGCAATATCTGCCGCGTTTAATATAATACTATACTGTCTCATCTAATCTCTGTCAGACCTGTTGCATCCCGTTCGCATGTGTCCATCTCCTCCACACGCAAAGCAAGAAGATACTCTGTTCATACTGACGTGATGCACTAATATTTTTGTTCTCAGAACCGTTTTCCCTCTAGATGCTGCGGACAGTGTGGACTTCGAAAGTAGAGTGTCCTATGTCATAGCAGATGTCCTTGTCCTCTTGTAGCATCTGTGTTACCTTTAAAAATCATTCTCACTATTCTTACTGCCCAAAAAGAGCTCGTTCGTGAAACTAAAAGTCTGAATACACTGGCAACATGAGCATTAGATTGCGCCTTGTTCTCAATCATACTTAGCGCCTCATTCATGCATACTCACTTCCGGAGAACAGGAAGCTTGGCCATGCCAAGTATCGTTCCTTCCAGAAACCACCTTCCATTTCGCTTCAGTTTGTTGTCTCAGTGCATATGGAAATCCAGAGCGAGCTTCACATATTTGCTTGAGCTGTTCGGTCTCGTTTGGTTGATAACTTGAGCTTAAGAAACCTGAATGTGGACGGCTTCGCTCTTCCGTTCATTTCATCGTCTTCCATGATCCTTCTTGTAGCAATCACGAGATTTTCCATCCAAAGATTTGTCGTTGCCTTAGGTATCGCCCTCGCTGCTTCCTCCGTGAACTCTAATGTCTCGATCAGGCTCTTCCTTGATTCATAGATGGCCCGCATCAAATCAAACATCTTTGCTCTTCCTTTTCGTAAAATTGCCGTTTCATTTTAAGCCTCAGTCAGAAAATGTTGTAGCATTCACCGAGCTTTTTCATCCTCCAACTCCAGCTCGTAGCTTCGTTCCGGTGATAGCTGTTCCACAGGTCGTACTGAAATAACAGAAGCGAACATGTCTTGTATGAATTCCACTGCACTCTCCACCTCTTGGGCTTGATCTAAGGTCAAATCTTTGATTTACCCACGCAAATATTCGTGCATTTCATGTAAAGATAATGATTGTGCTGTAGCGTTCTGAGGTGTCTGACATCGCTTCCGCTTCTGTTTCAGGTCTTGACTTCTTTCAACTTCTTTGTTGCTGCAGCCTTCCTTGCCTCTGTCTATTCCTCTTCTTCATCGCTTGACGTTTTGACATCAATGATCTTCGAGATTGGATTTATGATATTCTTCTCCGTGCTTGGCCCCCTATGCCTATGAGATTCCTGCCGGATGACCCATTCGCTGCGTGCCCTGAGTTAATCTTAACCAGTTTTTGTCTCGCTTGATCAATCGGCGTAGTGCACGATCCAGAGCATCGACTGTCAATCCACTAATTCTAACGTAGACTATAGCATAGTGGATTTAATATGCCATTGCGATTCCTATTCGATGTTTGTGATGCCAGTTTCAAAGGAGATGCAGCATTCAAGTCGTGTATCCAGGAGAAATTTTCATGTTGAGAAATATTCCATGCAGTGCACATATCCTGCAAATTGTTCGGTAACTTTAACTCTCGACTTTCAAATTTAGTGCTCTTTCGTTGTCTCGATGTCTTTAACGTTGATTTGAAAACAGTAGCATTTGCTGCGTTGTGCGAACTTGACGACAACAATGTCGATCTTACTGCAGCTGTACTATCACGAAAAGTCTTTGTTAATGAGCGACTATAGTGAGGTTGACGATTTCTTCGATCTTGAAGAAGTTTATCCAGTTTCTCAAGCTGCTCTTCAGGGCGTAACTCGTACCCCTGCTCCAATCTATCATTCACACATTTCTTTAACATCACCAACGAATGAATAAGATCGTTTTGTGTAGGTAACACAGGTGATGTATGTGTGGTTTCGCATGGAGATGTGGTGTAGTAAATTCCTTCAGTTTCCTGGATTTTTTTCGTCGCGAATACAAGGGATAACGTGCAGTACATAGCGCCATCGTGTTCTCCACCAAGTAGCATAAAGATTCGAATCATTTTCTTGTTCATTATACTCGAAAAGTTGTCATTCTTATGTAAAGTTTCTTCTCTGGAAAGTTGATTGAGCTGTCGCTCAATACGATCATTTGCAGTATAAATTGTAGAATTTTCAAGCTCTCTGTCGTCATTAACCTTCACAGTAAAGCTTGTTGTTGTTTTCAAGCACTGCATTGGCATCACAGATCCTTCTAAATCCACATCGATTACTGAAGCTTTTGACTTTTGATTCAACACTATCGATTTCGTTTGCAACATTGAGGTTTTCGTGTTTAAAGGTTGTTGTAGAAGCGACTTTGAGCTGCTTTGATCCTTCGTACTGAGCAACGTCTGACTTGAGTTCGACCTATTCATTATCGGACTGCAAGAATTCTCGATCGCTGTACTTTGTTCCCTTCCACAGTCTCGAGAATCTTCACTTTCCTTGCTTTCAACAGTTTCTTCCATAAGCATTAGATTCTCGTTAACTTTGATGTTGTCCTCTACTATTTGATGCGGCGGTATCGACTCAGACTTATCACTTTTTGTAACAGCAGCTCGAATCATTCGACACTTCATTACTGCTAGTCGAAACGATTTTCGACTCGTCTTTTTGGCTAAATCAATTCCTTCAAGTAGCTGAATTAACGAAATCTTCTCACTACTTGTGGAGCTATCAAGCTCTAAAGTATCAACCGTTGGGACAGATAGTTTCGCAAGAACAACGTACGGATCGGGAAGGTCTTTTCGCGATCCCAAGCAGGAAAGTAGAGAGAAAATCTCTTGCTGTGGCAGTGAACCGCAGTCATTGAAATCAAATGTTCGAAATTTGGTGACAATAAGATCAAGTGTGTCAGGTTGGAGACAATTTCGCAAGTGATCAGGAATCTGATAAGATGCTTCCACTTCTTCTTGTCGTCGTTCCTCAAAACTTTTGTCGCGACTACAATCTGCTATAACTTGCCGGAAAGCATTAAGTCGACGAAAGTCTTGAACACTTGCTTCGTTTTGTGTCACTTGTGTCTGCTCTAATCTCCAAAAATGACGTTCACGAGGTACATGACGAAGCAACCCTGTTTCTGCGAAAGCAATGGGATTATTACCACTGATGTTTTCAAGTAAAGGGGATAGAATATCTTGCAATGCATTTGCAGGACGTGCTAATGGATGAAGTAGCATCGCACAATTCAATAATGCCCCACAAAAGAGTGGAAATGTAAGAACTGGTTGGTCATCAACATCGAGATAGATTCGCATTTGACCCAAAGTAGCTTGCGCAAAGACTCTCTCCACAGTTTCAATTCGAAGTTTCTTTGATTTTAAATGATCACTTATTAAATTAGCATCACGAAGAATCTCTTGAAATCGTGTACAGCTAATGGATGGAACAGTTTCTTGAAATGTCGAGGAATCGTAGAATTGAAATAATCCATAAAGCTGCTTCATTTGATCTTTTGAAAGTGTTTGTAAAGCTATATCATTAAGATTCCAATGAAATTGAGGTGTTAGAGTGGCAATTGGACATGTTCGAGGGCGAATCTTTTCGATCGAAGCATCGATAGCATGAGAAAATGAGTCATTTAATGATTTCTCACTTCTTGTAATCGGTGCAGTGAATGCTCGATTCTCCATATTGATTAAGGTCTTAGAATAGTGAGTAAACTAGGTTTTAAATAGGATTCGAGTTGTATACTAGGACTTGGACTGACTTGTATACTAACCAGTAACCTCAAGTTATAATGTTACTTGGCCATGTAACTCGCGACATAATGGCACATTACACTGTAGCGCTTGGCAATGTAATGCATGATATGTAAAGAACTCACTGACGGCATTAGCGATGGGATATGATAGCCATTCCTTATTATGTGTCGCCCAACACACTGCACGTAAAAATCGCTTCATATGTGAACATAAAACTTGAAACAATGGATCGTGACACTGCACGTCGTCGCAATTACATGCGTGGATCAACAATGCGTTACATCTATCCATTGCATCTTGTCCTGTTGCTGCTTCAAATGCTGCTGAAATCTGAGAAATAGAAGTCAAGACATTAAAAAGTGTAAATATATTTATTCTATCGTGCTAGTCTTTACCTCTTCAGCTGTAACATTCTCGCTCTTATCGTTTTCCTGCTTCATCTGAACGTCCGACATTTTCGTCTCTGCCAACCTCTTTTTATAATGATAATTGATAAATTAAAGTATTGTAATATTCTATGTAAAAGGATATTTAGTTACTCTTTCTTTTCAAAGAGACAGAGTACGTCATTTCGTACCCTAAGACGTCTCGTGTCCTCAAGTCTATCAGAGACTTGAAATGGTATCACTACCTTCTCCACCGTCTCATTCTTCCAATAATCTTTCCATCTTTCGTGCTACTACATTTCTTACGTCATTATGGACATCAGTATGTGAAACATGGCAAAATATGACACGACAGCGTATGTTGTTTTTTCTTAAACGACATATCCCGATAATTGAATGGTTACCCTCGTATAACCTTCGTGAAGATTTGCAATTTGATGTTGTAGCAGGGATTACAGTTGGTCTTATGTTAGTACCTCAAGAAGTCTCCCTGAGTGCCATTATGGGGGTTCCACCCATCTATGGACTTTATACTGCGGCAGTTGTTCCAATGATTTATCCACTTTTTGGTACATCTCGTGTTCTCTCAGTAGCAAATGGTGCTGAAGTGAGTCTTTTAGTTGGTTCTGCTATTAAAAAAGTGGAAAGTGAAGAAGAACGAATTGCAACTGGCATCTTATTAAGTTTTCTAAGTGGTGGTGTTCTCTTGTTTATGGGAATGTTTCGACTTGGTGTGATTGCTGATTTTTTTTCAAGACCAGTAATGGGAGGATTTCTATCTGCTGGTGGTGTTCTCATTATGTTATCACAATTTGCTAGTTGGTGGGGACTTGAACTTAAAAGCAGAGATTTACCAGTGTTAACAGTCTTGGATTTATTTCAACACTTTCGAGAATTTAATGTTTTAAGTTTTCTAGTTGGGACACTTTCAATTGGTGTTTTAGTTGGAATGTATGAATTAAAACGACATGTTGTGACTGAATTAACGAAACTTGAAGAAGAGTTTGAAGATCAATTTGCGATTGAAACATCGAGAGCAATGGCGCAATTATCCATGAGATCTTTGAATGAAGAGCAGAGTATGAAAAGTGAAGAAAAGGATGAAACAGACGATCTTGAGAGACGAAATGTTAAGGAAAAAGAGGTTGAAATGGTAGAGAAACAAAAACGACAAAGTGAAAAAGAATCTGTAGCGGTGAATGTAGCAGTCTCACCACGTGGATCGAGGTGGGCAGACTTACCTGCAGTTTTTACAACAGGTGCATTAAGACGTCGTGATTACGTTCTGTCATCACCTTGGATTGCATCGTCGCGTAATAGTCGAGAGTCTGGATACAATGATTCCGAGTCCAATCGCTCATGTCGTCAACGAGATTCACTCACTCGTACGAATTTACATGGACGATTAAATGATGAAAGTGTCGGGTTTTCACTTTCTGATGAAGATTATATCACAATTGAAAGACCTTTAGATTTTGGAACTCGACCTGATAGCACATCTCGAAGCCAAAATCTGAATTCCGAGGAAACATTAAGTCGATTGAAACCAATGGAACTTCAAATCAAACGACTTGAAAATCATGATCATTCGGAAGCTCAAGCAGAAGCTGAAATGAAGGAACGAGTGAAAGAATTGACATCTCCAGATAAATTTCGAGATGATTCACCTGATTCATCAACGGCTCTTACAGGTCGAATGCTTGCTGCATCCTCGACTTCAATTCGTCTCTTACGTTCAAAAATGGCTGTTTTGATCACACTTCGATTATTATGTGATCTTGGTGCATTTATGGTGTGTTTACTTGGTGGTATTGTCGGGTATTTAGCACCAGAAGGTTCGTTAAATCTAGCAGGTGATATCCCGGGTGGATATCCTGCACCAAAACGGCCGTGGTATGGATTTGGGGACAATATTATTGAAGCTGATCGTTTCTATCATTTGTTTATTGATACACTTTCCATTGCCATTATCTCGTACATGTGTAGTATTGCTATGGCAAAACGTCTTGCTATTAAAGAAGGCTATCGAATTCGTCCTAATCAAGAACTGATTGCACTGGGATTTTCAAACTTGATTGGTTCGTTTTTTCAAGGAATGCCATCTACGGGTGGTCTCTCACGTACTGCAGTGAATATGCAAAATGCACGTACACAACTCGCAAGTGTCATTACAGTGCTTGTTGTTGTGTTTGTATTGTACACATCAACGTCAGCATTGGCGTATTTACCAAAAGCAAGTCTTGCATCAATAATTATTGTTGCTGGTTATTCCTTAATTGAAATGAAGGAAGCCAAGTGGCTTTATCGTGTCAAACGCGATGAATTTTACGTTTGGTTAGCTTCATTTGTACTTTCATGTATTTTAGGAGTCTTGCCGGGTTTATTGTCTTCGATCTTTTGTTCATTAATTGCTGTGATTTATAAAACACGTCGTCCAACTGTAATATTGTTGGGTGAAACGATTGATGAAGAGACTGATGAAAAACGGATTGTAGATCTGGATATGTATCCCGATACTGCAGTTTCCTTGTCAGATATTGTAGCAATTCGTGTTGAAGGTGCTTTGTACTTTGCCAATTGTGAATATATTGAACGAGTAGTCGAACGTGAAGTTCGAAAGCGTCATGAAATGGATAGTGTCGCTGTACGTGGTGTGATGATTGATGCTGGTTCGATCATGGATTGGGATAGCACCACAATTCAAATGATGAAACATTTAAAATCGGAGTTGAGAACGCAAGGAATTAAATTGGCGATTGTGAATGCACGTGATCGACTCCAACATTTGCTACAGACGTCGGAGTTTTTAATTGGGATAGTACATGATGACGCTCGAATTAGCTTTCAAGAAGCTATTCAAGCTATACGAGAGGAAGATTTGCCTTTAGAGAAACAGACAATTGCTTGCACGTCAAGACTGCAAGACATTTAAAAGATGACATTTGAAAAGCTTTATCATTGATCAATACAGAGACTCGTGTTTATTCACTTTGATGAATGACTTTTCTTTGCTTCTAGTTATGAAATTGCAGATGATAGTCGATCAATTTAATCGCGAAGATGAAATCCTTACTTTCATCTCTGTCGTCTGATTTATTGAGCTTTGACGCAGTAATGCAGACGTCAAAACGTTAGCGCTGAAAGAAATACTGCGTGTTTTCACACTGGATTACATCATATACCTTTGGATCTAGTTCTTTCACTCGCTCATTGAATAACAACCGACCAGATTTATTAACTGCCCAACAGACGACGAGAAATTCATTCATCGCTTGGTTGATTTCAAATCAAACCATTGATTCGAACCAAATACAGCAGCTTTTGACATACTTGTTTAAATACCCACATGCGCATTTCGAAGACATTTGTCCATACAGAACGAAAAGTCCGATGAAAACAGTCCTGCTTCTTGAGGCACAGACTTTCAAGTGCATCACGTGCAAGAAGAGCTTGAGCTCTGGTCCTTTTGTTTGCAGACAAAAAAGCGTTGGACGCTTGACTAGATCTTCTGTTAGGAAGCATCATTGAAAAACATGACTTTCGGACACTTTCCGTGACGATCAAAACCATATTAGACCGCTACGGAAGTGGCTTGGTATGACCAACTATTTACACTAGTTTATGCCGGTATGACAAGGCTCTGTCTAAAAACGATGTTATATGCTAAGAGGCGCCCCAAAGCTGTCAAGAAATCCTCAGATGTGCACCTACGCTAGAAATTTTCGTTAATTGTCGAACTAATTCGCATGCTTCAGCCTTTACCATAGGCTATGCTTAATTTCAAAATGAAGACAGCACATAATCGCGCTTTATATCGCTACTTTAAATTGACAGCCAGCGCCTTTGTTAAATTTGGTTTACACTCGCTCAGCATGATAAATTCGACTTCTGGACCACTCATTTACAATTACACAGCGAAATGATGTGCTTCTTCGATTCCAAGATTTTTGAAAGTCTCCAATGTGCGCAAACTGACTGTGCATGTTGTAGAATGTAATGGCAAGTGTAATGTTGTCAAAAATTGCATGATGCCAAGAAAGATGATCAACTGCGTTCAGCAATTCTCGCACTTATCAAGTCTCTGCAATATGGTTAGGAAATTTGTCTAGGTGTTAACTAACATACCAAGATCAAGCCAATCTATTGCAGAGTTTTCCTGCTTCATCGTCACTTGATCTCACCATCATCTTAATGAACGAACGAGAATTTCATGTTTGAATTCCACAAACATTGTCATATCTACACGCTATATATCACAAAGCTGCCGCACGATACGCTGTAGAAACATCACTAGGAGACACAATATGAAGTTGATGCAACGATCCTTGAGATGTTCGTTCAAGGTCGAATTTGTTCTTGACGTATTCATTCTCAGTACCCGGTATCTCATTTTGAATATGCTCAACAGAAATCCATCCAAAATCGTGAGACAGTAAATCCAGCGATTTGTCGTCAAGATTTCGAGCCACTAACGTCTTTCCAGCCTCACGGTAACGCATTGCAGCCTCTCGCAATGCCGCAACAGCGGAAAAGTCTGCAAAACCACAGTCTTGCATATCTAAAATCACAACATTCGGATCGTTCTTGACATCAAAAAAATCACGAAAGCAAGCCACTGAAGAAAATAGAAGTTGCCCTTTCAAGTAATAGATTTTGGCTTCTTCTTGACTCATTAGTAGTTCGTTTTCACTTGCACTGCCGTGCACATTCACAACAGGAACAAAGATCGTACCCGTGTGAAAAGTGAGCATTCGGCCACTTTGCCAGCTATTCACAAGACATTGCCAGATCACCCCAACAATCACAGCAATAGCTAAATTCATTGCAGCAGCGAGTACAGTCACGAGAACAATGGCAATAGCATCTGTAATCTTGATCCGAAAAAGAAGTTTGAATGTTGGCCAATAGAATGTATGAATGACAATGACAAAGAGAATTCCCGTTAAACAAGCGACAGGAACACGTTCAATCAAAGGACTAGCGAAAAAGACGACGAGAAACGTGCAGATCCCACACATAAAAGATGATAGACGGTGCCGCGCACCATTCAAAATATTGCCATTGGATTGTGCAATCATAGAACAGCCTCCCATGCCTGAAAACAAGCCACACAAAATATTGCCGACACCTTGAGCGATACATTCTTTTCGTGTAGCTGTTTGCGAGAGTTGTTCCTTTTTCAAGTCAACCACAGATTGCAATGTCATAAGCGACTCAAAAAGTCCAACTGCCATGATACTCGCCGCTGTGGATAGTACGACACCCCAGTCTTGTATGTTGCTAAACTCAGGGATAGCAAATGTTGGTAAACCTCCATTCAAAGGAGATGTATCTCCAATTGTCCGTACATTGTACCCCAAAAATGGACGATTAATGCCAAATTCAAATCCAACACCAATAATTGCTGCAAGAAGTGTTGGTGGAATCAATTGACCAACAAATGGTATTCTAGGGAATAAGTGCATAATAGCCATCGTGACTAAGACCAACGCAATGGTCACCCACGTTATAGGAGATGCGACACTCATATACTCAAGTTTATTTTCCATTTCACACTCACCAAAGCGCATTGTGTCGTTTGTACATATTTGAATGGTTGTTTTTTGAGATAGAAACATCATAAGTGCCAAACCATTGAGAAATCCAATATGAGCAGTACGTGGAATCATAGTAAAGAGTTTGGAGAGTTGAAATAAGCCAAAAAGTAATTCAAATATACCAGCAATTGTGACAGCTACAAACAAATGTTCGAGTCGTTCTTCGTACGTTAAATAATCCAGTGAACCTGTGCTACTGGTGATAGTTGGCATGACCATAGCTACAGCACCTGCAGCTCCAGCAACAGTTGATGGGACACCCCCAAACAAGCTCACAGAAAGAGCAAGGAAGCCTGTGGCGTATAAACCATTAAGAGGATCCAAATTTGCTGCATAGCTAAAGGCCACAGTTTCGGGAATCATAAGCAGCATGGCTGCTACACCACAAAGCATCTCACGCTGGAACACGACGAGATGCTGTAGATAAAAACGTATTGAATTCTCAATCTCAAGATGTAATCTAGAGACTGTATTGTTAAGGGTACATGACGGAGTATGTGCATGTCGACGCATGGTTCGCGCAAGTCTATGGACGCAATAACCGATACTTTCGTCCCAATGTTCGCAGAGTGAGTGTTTAGTGCCGCTAGTTTCAAGAGCCATGTATTTTGAAGGCTTGGCGTGTTGTGTTGTATGTGGAATGTGCACAGAGCTGGACGAGAGACGCAGGGCATCTACGCCATGCTCAACGTCACACTCGCTGCTGCCCATTTGGTGACTAGGATAAAAATGAGATGACAATTATATGTGGAGCAGCTGTAACTTGTACTTTTCATCAATAGCAGCTCATAAAATAGATGCATAAACGAATCAAATTGACAACGTATCGATCAGATGTCCAAGCAAGAACAAATTTGTTCAAGATTAGACGAGAAGAAAAGAAACTCTAGAGTTGAAAAGAGTCACTGTCACAGTCTCCAGGATATTCCAAAGCTAAGATTACCAGAAATAGCACCTTTACAAGATCTCTATTTGATCTGCGGCTACTTTAGCTGTGCACATGCAAAACATGAAAATTAAAGTAACCATGACGTGGAGCACGAGCGTATGTTACACCTCGTAATATTCGTGGACAACGATAAAGAAATATGGGTTTGGGATACATAATAGACCTACTGGGTCAAAGAGGTGGGATGACGTCAAATCGCTGTGAAATTTTATCGTCATATCTCAAGTGTTGATTTAGGACAAGAATCAATGCTGAAATGGCAGACTTTTTAAAAACTATTCATGATGGGCTCACCAGAAGAGATGCATAGATTATCAACATACTGGTTGGTCGTAGAAATTTCTTAGCAATATCCAAGTCAGAACCTGAAACACTGACGATGTCATAGTATCGTTTAATGAACTCACTAATCCCACTATTTCCGTCATCCTCTCCGATAGGCGGCAAGATATTTCCCAGCTTCAGTCGGTTCACGGGGTCTTAAATACATGGAAGCTTGATCTCGGTACCAACAGGCAAATGGCAGTGCCAGTAGCGTCCTGATCACTTGAAAAGCTTCGCTTGTTTCCATGATAATTGTTTGACGATCGTCCCCTCGGATATCCAGAAGAACTGCCAATTGTTGGTTAAGTCAGTAAGAAGCCCCATCACGGGTCTTTGACAAAAGATCCAGAGCAAACAGCTTCGACAATGCCTGAAAGACGGAGCCTCGTTCTACCTTTCTCTTCACTTCAATCAGCATTCTCACACCAGGTAACCACTCTAGCGCCAATGTTGTCCTCGACATACTTGCGACATCGTTTTCGCTGCTGCTCCTCACTGAGCACGACCTCTTCGCCGTTTGTAGCGATAAATCCTTCCCACTTGTAAGGATCAATCGAAGACCACTGTCCAGTAGCAAGTGGAATTGTGTGCACAAGTTCAAACTGAACGTCCAAGTTGCTCAAAAGCTGCTTGCCCTGGTTCGAGTCTACCTCCGAGTGAACGTATCGTTTACGTTTTCCAAGTGTCGCTTGCTTGTGTAGGTACTTTATCATTGCTGACATTTGCGCTATCGTAGAAATTTTGCTCGCCGAACCAAAAGTACTCTCTGGAACCACAACCAACCAAGAATCTGTTTTACTTTCAGCGCGGACATGCCTTCAACGTACTCAGAAATCGGATCCCTTCTCCGCATTTCCTTGTCTTCATACATGAGCGCTTCGATAAAAGGAGTCTTCTCCTCCTTATTTAGCTTCTTTAAATCTTCAATGACACTCGATAGCCACGCGTTGCCCTCGTGATTGTCGCTGGTCTCTCCTTCTTTATCAATTTTCTCAAGTCATCCACAGTTTTTACTTCGTCTATTTCCACGGAGAATGCGCTTCCCGCCTCTCCGACGATCAAACAGAAGAATTTAATTATCTTTCCTCACATCGGCTATTAAAATCCTTCGGCAGGCCAAACACAAAATCTCATGGACCGCCAACACCCGGAGGGTTCCGGCAAACTGGCCAGCGGTGCCGCCGCATTCGGAGAGGATGCCACCCTTTGTACGTCTCGCACGTGCGTACGTAAGTGCTCGACTAATTGTACAGCTATGGCTGCCAGTATCGACAATTGACAGAGCTTTATGTCTTCTCACGACCGAGATGACCACTGCGTGGGGTGTCGTGGGCCTCATAGAGGATATAGTTCTTTAATATTTCAATCATGAGAGCCATAATTCGTGGTGTATCTGTCGAGTCGGGGCTCTAATACAGCAGCCCGTTATTTAACGAATATCGGTTCAGCC